TGAGACCTTGTCTTTACTAAAAATACAAAAAATTAGCCAGGCGTGGTAGTGGGCACCTGTAGTCCCAGCTACTAGGGAGGCTGAGGCAGGAGAATGGCGTGAACCCGGGAGGCAGAGGTTGCAGTGAGCTGATACCATGCCACTGCACTCTAGCCTGGGTGACGGAGCACCTTAATTGTTTTAATTGCTGCTTTTATTGAATATTTGATATTTTAATGCATATTTAGCATATAATTTTGCATTAGATAGCTCATTGAGTCCTGAAGTGGGCCATCTAATGAAGTGTTTTTAGCGTGACTGGGTTAACTTTCTTCATTTAACTCATGACTTTATTAGCCTATTTAAAAATTTCTAGCCTTACATTTTATTCTGTGTTTTCCTTGTTTAATACTCTATCTACTTATTAGTAGGTACTTATTAAGTATAGTTGAGGGAGTTAAAACACTTAATCCGTGCCTTCAGGGAATTCCCAGACTGGTAACAGGTCACTCCAGGGTAGCATGGTTGGGTTATGACTAGAGCTGTGTTTAGGTATGATGATGATGTAGAGGGGGACACTTACTTTCACGTGGGGGTTTGGAGACATTTCCTGGGGCAGGTGACGTGTTAATTGAATTCTTGCAGCTGCCGTCATCAGCAGCGCATTGGCTGTTCTTTTCTGTTCCCCACACTGCCTTCTGCAGCAACCCCAGGACTTGCTGGTGCCGGTCAGACTCCACTTAGTGTGCATGTGGTTCAGATTAGCTGCTTAGCATTATGAAATCGTCCAAACAGATGAGTGCATATGGTTTTGTCTGTCAGTCTGACTGGTGAGATCGTTACATTCGCTGCTTTTTATGATTTCTTTGTTTTAGACAAAACTGCTAACAGAGATGATGAAGACTGTATTTATATTTTTCTGTTTGAAAGAATAGAAGGGAGTCAGAGGGATTGGGCAATGGAAGGAAAGAATACAAACTTTAATTGGAAGGAAAATTAATGTAAGGAACTGAAGAAAGGAACGGATAAGTAGAATTAGGGAAGAAAGAATGCGTAACAAGGCCTAAGAAACAAAATAACATATTTAGTCCTTAATTGTTTTAATTGCTGCTTTTATTGAATATTTGATATTTTAATGCATATTTAGCATATAATTTTGCATTAGATAGCTCATTGAGTCCTGAAGTGGGCCATCTAATGAAGTGTTTTTAGCGTGACTGGGTTAACTTTCTTCATTTAACTCATGACTTTATTAGCCTATTTAAAAATTTCTAGCCTTACATTTTATTCTGTGTTTTCCTTGTTTAATACTCTATCTACTTATTAGTAGGTACTTATTAAGTATAGTTGAGGGAGTTAAAACACTTAATCCGTGCCTTCAGGGAATTCCCAGACTGGTAACAGGTCACTCCAGGGTAGCATGGTTGGGTTATGACTAGAGCTGTGTTTAGGTATGATGATGATGTAGAGGGGGACACTTACTTTCACGTGGGGGTTTGGAGACATTTCCTGGGGCAGGTGACGTGTTAATTGAATTCTGAAGGACAGCTAGGAGAGCAAGGATATAGTTAGGGAGAATATTCCTGTCAGCATAAATAGACTATGCAAAGTATGGTGGTGAGAAAGCAAACGTATTCAGGGGACTGCGGGCGCTTAGGTGTGCCTGGAACTTGGGGTTTTGTGGAGTTGGTGATGAAGCACGAAGCCAGAGAGACTGGCAAGTACAGTCCTTGCATATGACTATAGAAGCTTTTTATCTTGATGGCAGTGGGGCAGCCACCAGAGTATTTAAACAGAGAGATCATGCCTGGGCGCGGTGGCTCACGCCTGTAGTCCCAGCACTTTGGGAGGCCAAGGTGGGCAAAACATGACGTCAGGAGGTCAAAACCATCCTGGCTAACATGGTGAGACCTTGTCTTTACTAAAAATACAAAAAATTAGCCAGGCGTGGTAGTGGGCACCTGTAATCCCAGCTACTAGGGAGGCTGAGGCAGGAGAATCGCTTGAACCTGCGAGGCAGAGGTTGCAGTGAGCTGATACCATGCCACTGCACTCTAGCCTGGGTGACGGAGCAAGACTCTGTCTCAAAAAGAAAAAAAAAAAAAGTCAGAGAAATCATGAAATCATGTTGCCAGTATGAGTTTTAGAGACTAACAGCAAAAGGAAGTTCGTTGAGAAGAGGCCAAGGATAGACATTGGAAGCTATTGTACTGATAAGTTGAGAAATTGAGAGGGCCTCAAAGAAATGGAGGAGGGGGCCCGATTTATAAAATATTAATAAGGTAAATTCCCAGCAGGTATAATGGCAGATTAAATGTCGATACACTTAGGCATAGCTGGAAATGTACAGAGAGCAGGTGAATATCCCATTCTCAGGGGAGCAAGCTGATTTGCTGGCAGAGGGTTGAAAGTCAGCCACCTGTGGGAATAGTGGAAGCCTTAGGTGAGGTGGGTGCTGGGACAGGGGCCCAGGGGAACTGGAGAGAGCCTTGGGAGACACTGACCTTAAGGGGAAGTGGAAGAATGATTGATGCTGCAGAATACAAGGAGGGGTCCAAGAAGTAGAAGGAGAGAAGCAATGGAGAATTAGTGCACGTTCATATCTAATGCCGTAGAGCAGCGCCGTCTAGTAGGAATAAAATACATGCTGCATAGATAATGGTAAACTCTCCAGGTGCTGCTTTAAGAAACATAAAAAGAAATAGTTAAAATTAATTTTAAGAAGATATTTTACCTAATTCAGTATATCCCAAATACCATCGTTTCAACATGTAATCAATATTAAAATTACTAATGAGATTATAATCTTTCTTATGATGTATCTTTGAAATCCAGTGTGTGTGTTACACTAACATTTACATCTATGTGTTGTATCTTCATTCAGACATTAAATTTTCTTTGCAAATTCTTGATCTGTATTTAGATTTTATAAAATATGGGGTTGAAAAAGTAGATTCACATACCCAGGTTGTTCCAAGGAATTTTATAACTGAATCAAGAATCGGTGTTTAAATTAAACTTGAATTAAAATTAAATAAAAAGCTCAGTTACTCCCTGGTGCTTCCTGCACTGCAGTGCTCTGCAGCCACATGTGGCAGGCGGCCACTATGTTGGACAGGGTGGCTGTGGAGCATAAGGCAGAAGGGTCGAGAAACGCTACTTGGATTCAGCCACTGTGAGCAAAGACTCGGTGAGGAGAGGTTTGGTGAGAGGTGGAGGGGAATAGCCAGATTGCTCCAGACTGAGAAATGATGGGGAGGTGAGGAAGCAGAGATGATAAACTTCACTCTTTCAAGAAACTTGGCGGTAAAGGAGGGAGGACTTTGGCAGTGAAGGAGGTGATAGCCAGACTAGGGTGGGGTTGGCTGAATTGAGCAAGTCCTGAACATGCTTTACATGGAGATGAATGTGCGGGTAGGGAGCAGGTGAGGATGTGGGAGGTTGGGAAAACGATTTCCCTCCGTAGTTACCAAGCAAGCCTGAACTAAATAACATGAACCGATAAAACGATGTCTAAGAACATATTAATGATTCAACTCTTAACAATTTATTGTTAACATATGAATTATTTAACTCTTAACTCTAAAGCTAATTACATTGCCCATCATCAGTCAGTACATACGTAATCTCATGTTGGCCATAAATGCAGCAAGATAGAAGGTAGTCTGTAGATTGGTTTATAAATCAGTTCACATCTCGGGTGTACTTGATTTTATCTTAGAGGTGATATTTTCTTCGTGGAGGTTTTAGAGTGACATGGTACACGTTAAAGATGTGTACCTTGTCATGCAATATCCTTGTGAACATTATAAAACAGCCATATTTTAATGTTTGCTAATTCATTCAGCAATTTATTAGGGCCTGCCATGTGCTGGGATGTTCTAATTGTGGTAATAAAATCTTGGGTCATTCTGTGTTGTTGGAGCATTACAAGTATGATTGAAATACCCTAAATCGAAAACTAATAATTTCTATGGTAAATTACAAAATTCAGT